TTAAAACGGTCACGTATTCTCAATGGGAAAGTTATCTCGATGAAACGATGGAGATCGCGATTACATCTTCCCGGAATGAAGGCAATAGATTAAAACATCGTGCTTGTATATTATAGAAATTAATCAATTCGAACGTGGAATTTGAAAGCGTGCGTGCAATTTCACGGTACACATCGGGCTGATCCCAGAAGAAAACTGAACGAAACTACGGAGAGCTACAACGAGAGACACCGTGTCAATTCGTGAGATAAGATAAGCACGGAGGATACATCCACAACGTCAGGGTATTTTCTGAAATTTTCTTATACGAGATGTTTATTACGCTCATTATATTCGAATTAAATCGATAATATATTTATTTTTCGAGATGTTATATATATAGAATCGGAATCTGAAAACTTCTCCTTTTCACGACTCCAATTTCACTTTCATTTTTGTAATATTATTTTGATATATTCGGTAATTAAAGAGAGACAAAGAAAATTTCATTTCGCAATGATTTATGCAAATCTTTTTATTTTCTTCCGGTAAAAAGATTCTTTTTCGAAATCGAATCGTTCTCGCAAAGATTTTTCTTCGCTTCGAGAGAAATCTTCGATCCGATAGTAACAGTATCGTAGTATCATTTATATAGATATATCCGATGCAAGCACGATCGATCTAGAAAATGATTAGAAACGGAAATGATTCGTTCGAAGAAAAAATATCCGAGATGGAACATTTTCAAAGATGCGATCAATTTCATTGCTGATCTACCATTTTGTGTGTGATGTTTACTTCCCTTTCTATTATATCCCTATTTTCAAACGGTACTACATGGTTCTATGAATCATCTTATTTGCCACTTGAGTTTCTGCCAATCTAGTGATGACGTCATCAAACGAAAATATTTCTAAAACTGTATTCTAACAATTATTAAAATTTTTACATTTCTTATTTGTATCTTATTTTTTTTTTTTTTACAAATTTTCTAGCTTCTAATTATTTACTATTTCTTATTGTCCAATATTTCAATAACAAATATTTCAACGGATTTTTCTTTCCTGGTATTTTTCATAATAATTTTCGGACTTAAAGTAAAGCCATAATATATAGATGTCAATTATTGTGCTCAGGTAAAGAAAGGTTCATGGTACCTTTATATATATATATGTGGAGCCAACGCAGCTCAATTTAGCTCAAAATGTATAGAATGTATAGAAGATATATAGCTTTATTTACAATTCACACTTTTAATATTTAAATTGATATTTAATCTCGTTTATCAAAAGAGTTAATACTGAAGTAGCATGATTAGAAGATTTAATATTTGGCATTATTTGATGATTTTATTGAAATCAATTAACATTTCGATTCAATTGCAAAGATGAAATAGGAATGTTTTTTCAAGGGAATAGAATTGTTTTAAAACTTACAGATATAACCGTGTATTTATAATCGTTTATACAAGACGTATATCCTCGTGATACCTAACAGATCGATTTTAGTGAATTTAATTTTTTAGTGTAATAAACAGATAATAAAGTGCTTGAAGCATGACTTCATTTTTTTATACACTACATTCACGTATATAATAATAATATAAATTATAAATTACAAGAAAAAAAGAATTTCTTTTTTTTTTCTCTTTCTTTAATTTCTCAACTCGAATGAGAGGAATCTTGTTGATCGAACGAAATCATATTATGACAATTACATTGCACAGCCATTGATTAATAAATAGAGTTTGTATAAATTTGAAATGGAAAAACAAGAAATCTCTATTTGAAATATAACGCAGAAAATGAAATCATTTATCATCTTAACTAATATAGGCGAAAAGAATGAACAAAAAAACACTTGGAAGTTCAACAATCATATTATATATTACTTGTCAAACTCGCATCAATATCGAATCAATATAATGTCTTATTGATATTTCCTTAAAGCTAGTAAAATGAATAGACGAGCCACGATCCATTCAACTGGATCGGCGAAGTGGTAAAAGATAATGTCCGTAACCCATAGAGGCAGGGTAACGAATAAAATTACAACGCTTTTAATGTATTGTTCAACAAATGCAAACCGTTACTCTCTGTGTGAGTCGACGTAATTATATGATACAGATTAAATGGGAGTCGAACGTCGAAAATCCGTCCAAAGTTTGCGATCAAAACGTACACCCGTTCATTTGTACAAAGTAGAATGTTGTATTTTATTTATCGGCAAGAATACTATCGCTAACAATATGCAAAAAAAAAAAAAAAAAAAAAAAAAAAAAAAAAAAAAAAAAAAAAAAAGAAGAAGAAATTACATCGTAAGAAAATATGTTCGATCGTAGTAGATAAAAGTTATGCTACTGAAAACTCTACATTTGCAAAGTGCGATACGTATACAATAAATGAAACTATAGATCTACAAACGTGTAAGATCTTTAGTAAGTAAAAAGCAAGAATCATTAATATTTTATAATCGTTAATTAGATTATAATTACATATTGATAACGCACCTAACGTAATTGGCAGTATTAATCTACTACTACATTATTGCTACTTTCGTCACATGTTTCGATTATCGTTACTAAAAATCGAATAAATCGCGACAGTATTCTTGTCAATGTGCATGACGATGCATAACGCTAAAGGAAAAGGAAATTTGTACATCGTTTGTACAATAGTGTGACTCAATCTCGCCTGCGCCACGTAAACTTCGCCCTTTGACTAGACGCCTCCGCGGCAACTGGCATCGGGTGAGAATATGGACACGCTGGTTTGGTGCAGAATGGATGATACTTGCACTGTTGGGCAGGATGAGAGAATACGCATCCCAGTTTTGTGCAGGACAAGCCGAATTTGCATTTGGGATGTTTGTAAGCACACTTGTCTCCGAACTTACACGCAGGGAATACACTATAATAGGGGGAATAGATAAGTAATAGTTAAAAAAGACTGACTAATTGTGAACGATAGCGAATTAAAAAAAATTAAATAAGATAATAACCTGCACATAACGAGAGGATGAAGATACGCGCACTTATTTCCTAATGTACAATTTGGCCAGTATCTACATTTTTCTTTTGACTTATCTATCACCGTCACCGTATTCTCTGTTAGTGGTTTTTTATCTAAACCTGGATACAGAAAACAACTTTGTAATGCATTTATATTGTAGAATTTTTATAGGATTTTAATTATTAAAACTATATTATTTACGTTTTGTTAATAATGGGTTTGTTAACAATGTACTAGATTTTAAATCCGTGGGACTTGGTGAATGGGATCTATTATAAATAATTGGACTTAATTTTCTCCTCTTTTTTGGTATCTCCTCGGTATTCTCTACGTTTTCCGTGTTACAATTTTCATTATTTTCTTCACTTCTTTCTTTTACACTTAAATCGCCATCGGTTTCCATTTCGGATACATGAAAAACAGAAGTTTCCGATTCATTCTGTGCGTATATATCATTTTGAATCGTTGATAGTGCAAGCTCGTCATCTTCATTCACCTATATAAATAAATATGTTATTGAAATTAATATTAATCGATGTAAATTCGTAAAAAATTAAAAGAAACAGAGTAAATGAGTATAATTTTAATTTTAATAACTACCTCCATTTCCAGTCGTTCATCGTCGTCAGATGTATTTTTTTCTTTCATTAAATTATTATTATATCCATTAAGTGTAACTAAAAATTTTTGGTTATCGTCGCTCCTTTGGAATAAAGACATTACGACACCCATGTGTTCCTCGGTAACTGGTTGCGGTACATCTATAGACCGTACAATACTAAATATATTAGAGAAACAATTTTAAGTATTATATATATCTCCAAAAAAGAAGAAGAAGAATAAAAATATACTCACAAGGTTTTGATTTCGATTCTGAAACATCTGTGTTTAATTCTACTTGTATTTTTTCCATAACTAATCGCTTATTAGAATTCAGGTGTACTGATAAATTTTGACCTACGTCTCGTACAGTAGCTGGTTTAAGATGTTTTAAAGTCTGCTTCTTCTCCTGTGAAAATTTTTTTATATAAAAAAACATTTTTGAATTAAAAAACGAACCAAAATGGAAATCTGTGACATTAATATTTATTACATTTTATACACACCAGTAAGGATGGTTCTGGATTCTTTTGCATAACAACAGATTGATTTGCCTCTGCAACTGCCCTTAATAAAAGTGATTGTGTAGCACGTTTTTGAGCCGGTTGTAAAGGTTTCAATGGTCTTGGAGTTACGATTACTTTACTTAATATTTTAGTTTCCTCGACTTCCTCTTCTGCATCGCTGCATTTATTGCCCTTTTCTAATGGTTTCAATCGTTTTCTTTCAGTCTTATTTGATGCAGATTTATTTACAGCTATAATATGGGATTTAATAGGTCCAGAAACACCTATAGATTGCGTGTCATCATCTAATTCCTCTTCTGCACCCAAATTAAGATAATCATCGTCCTCGCTACTTTGAGAACGTCTAATCGATGAATTAAAACCACTTTTAATATTTGGTGGTTTAAAATTATTTTTGAATGGTCCCAATCTCTCCTTTATATTTTTATTGTTAGTCAGAGTATCGCGATCTTGTTCTAAAGGCTTGCTTTTAAATTCTATAGACTCTTTATTTCCTAATAATTTGGACGATTTATTAATATTAGCAATACCTAATCGATCTTTAATTGTACCCATCGATTTTTCTGTTGATTTCGGTTTTAAATTAGAATTTGCTTTTTCTCTTAATTCTACATTTTTGGGAACTTTTGAATTACCCAATCGACTTTTAATATTATTAATTTTATCAGACTCGTTTATTTCACGATTTCTATTTATACGATCTTCTATATCAAAAGTTCTCCCTCTTGGAAAATTGTTATTTCGATTATTGTCCAATCGATATTTTTCAGGACGCTTTTCATTTTGCCTATATCGACTTTCAGTATCTATCTTTTCTCTGTGTACTTCAAATTTTTTTCTGGGCGATACCATACCCAAACGATTTTTTACAGACACAACGGATGTAACTTTTGGTTTGTTAATGCAAGACTTCAATTTTTTCGCATTATCTTCTGTCGTACTCTCTACATCTTCCTGGATTTTTGATCTTTTTGTCTCATTCTGTTTTTTCTCAGAACCATCTCTATAACTATTTGTTGTATCCAGTGGTCTTTTTAAATTTTTAGGTAATGAATCATCAAGTTTTGTTGTTTCAACATGAGAATCTTTAGTTTTATTATTGGAAGTTTCAAAAGGTGACAATTCTTTACTTGTATTTGCATTTTGACTTTCATTTCTTTTGGACACAGGTTGTTGAGAAATATTGTGATTCGATGTATTCTCATCTGATTTACTGTCATGATTAATATTTTTTATAGATTTATCTACAATTTTATTTTGACTTG